CTGCCGACATGGGACGTTTTGAAAGGGGAGGTAGGTAAAAGCTGTTGAGCCCTAGCAGCAAGTCAATATCTTTCTTACTCAGCGTTGGCGATAGTTGGGCTTTGGAGGATCCAAGCAAGAAACCAATTGTCTGACGGTCCCTTTTCATAGAAACTCGTAAGCAATGCCAAGGTGAAGTGGTGGCAGTCCATGGTGCCAGTTAATGACAGCGAGCAGGGCTGAATGTAACAGATGACTGCCTAAGGATGTGTCAGCTAAATAGTCATTCAGCTGTGTTATTAGTCATGCCCTTTAAGTGAGATGAGCCAGAACCACAAAACACATTAGAAGGATTTTTAGTCTATGTGGTTTTTACATACGCCATATTGTGTGACACAAAGAATTTATATCGCTACAGCAAATGCCCGTGTCCATTGAATAACAGGAATAACTCACAACTCTGCACACAAAGGGCTAGATGGTGCCTTTAGACACAGCACTGAGCAAAAGGTGTTGCCTTAGGCTGCAATAGGACTCAAAGATACCCTGCTACAGGACAACTCCTCCCCTGCACCTGGACTCATACCGGTAGTAATTACAACAGCCCAAGGATGACTCTGCTGTGTTGGGCCGTGCACTGGAAGGACAGAGGCAAGGTTCTGCCCACCCACTCCTTGCTCATTACTCCATCTCAGGTTGGGGTAAATGACCCGATGTCATCGGCTTACTCCTGTGCCAGTGTGTAAAGGGAGGTCGTACTAGTTTATGAAGGACTGTAGTGCAAGACACACGCTAGACCCAAATGAGATAGGAGGGCCCAAGGACCTACTTCTTAGACTGCATCATTTGCCTTTTGTTTGTTTTTAAACTGAAGAAATAACCCACAACTCAAAGCATCATGTATTTTTATGTATGTAAAGGCCATGGACCATGGATCTCCCTGCCACTACAGATGGGCACAAGCCCAAAGCCTTTAGATGTAGGAACAAGCTCTTGGCACAGCCCTTCCCACAATAACAATGGCAGAAGAACACCCTGGCACTGTAGAACAACAGGAATAATCTAACAAGGGGAAAAATTACCCACAAGTAACATAAAATGAGGGATGGATGGCAAATACCATCCTTCCGACAGAATTAGGCCTTATTTTGTTATGTCAGTGCCCAGCTAGCATGGATATAATCACTTCAGAAATGTATAAGTGAAGGGCTGGTTCTTATTTAAGCTTGTGTTCCTTTACACCATGAAAGGGGCCACAGTGTAAATGCGGTTCAAGTCCAGCCTATGTAAAAGGCTCTTCCTGGCCAGTCCATTATGTAATCCTTTAAATTCCGTTCTGTGGAACAAAAGCCCTAATTTCACCCAGGATACTGTCATCTGTTTTTCTGATCGCAGTATCCTCATCAGAAACCAGTGTTACCTCTCTGCTGAGCAGTGACAGATGTCCAGGGCCTTGCAGGTCAGCTTCCCTCAGGAGGAGAACTCAGAAATGTGGGGTCAGGGTACGTGCTAGGTGTAACTTGCTTTCTTTACACTCTCCACCAGTCCTGGAATGGGGTGGTCAAATAGCATGCAGGCAGTCCCGCCTTCCAGGCATCTCAGTCCAACAACAATGCCTGGATCCCATGGAGCAACCCTGTCACAAGTATTGACTCTAATCAGAACCAAGGGATAACACAAACTCTCCTGCTCCTCCCATACCTTCCTCTTACCCGTGTACCCCAAATCCTGCATAATCCCAAACTAGCAAGACATCACGCCTTCCCAAGAGGCAAAACTTGCTCTCACACTAAGCTGATGCCCAAATAAATGTGTTAGTCTCTAAGGTGCCACAAGGACTCCTCCTTGGTTTTGCTGCTACTAACATGGCTACTGCTCTGAAACCTCTCACGCCAAGAACGCTAACTCGGAAGACTCGCTGTAACACCAACAACTGCTGCCACCTGTGATAACAATATCAGCTGCACCGGGCTTTAAGCTAACTCTTTGTTTCCATGCTACTAAACCGGAACAGCGCTGTGAACGTTGGCTTTGTCCGCTGCTTCCAAGTCAGTTGCTGGGTAAACCATAGTACAATAAAGCTGTCTTGCCTACGAGCTGCATGCTCTCAATTAGCTTACCTCACGATTTTATTTCTTTTGAAATGACTTCAGCCACTGAGCACTCCCTCCCACTCATGGCACAAATTATCTCTGCTGCTTAACATGCCCTGTCTGTCCCTGGCCCTAGGTTACCTCCCCCGCTATTTCCCTGTCAGCCTCACCAGCCTTGTATTACTTTATTCTGCCTCCCAAACCCCAGCTTCCCCTTGGGCACTTTCTCGGTGCCTTTCTCAACTCCTTGCTGGTTCATTGGTGGCCTTTCCTTGCTGCAGCTGGGCAGCTCTTGGTTTGGGTGGCTATTGGGCAGGCACTAGAGGATGCAACTGCAGCCTCTGGAGTGGGCAATGTGTTAGCAGCAATATGCTGCCCGCAGGCCTGCTTTTCACAGGGGCCCACATCCTCAAAGGTATTTAACCTTGTACATACCTATGAGAAGCTCAGCCAGGAGCCTGATACAGGAGAGAAGCTCACTGGCAGGCCCTGAGGGTGACTGCCTCTTGGAAGTGATCAGAAGCATGGCCGGGCTTCACTGTATCTCCCTGCAGCAAAATCCGTTTTTTCATAAACTAGGAGCACGGCTTGACTACTAAGTTAAGCAGCTTGTTAATTTCCTCCTTTAAAAGCGCGACACCATTTTTTCCTAATATCTCTCTGCCAAATGATTTTCCAAAATCCAAGTTAGTAGTCCCCGCATTGTTTATCAAGCCACTTCTCAACTGGCTGGGGAAGAGAGACACGGTCAGTCCCGTCAGCCCTTTTTCACACCCAGCCGCCCTTTACTCTGCGAGGTGTCCCGCTGAAATCAACCGCACTACTCACGGAAGAAGGGATGACTCCATGCAAGTACTAGTGTGAGAGTCTGGCCTTTAGGAAACAATTAACCAGCATGGGCTGGGATATAGATATGTCTAGTTTAATTAATAATATTTTGCACGTGTATTGCTGTACATGTTCCAAGCACTGTACAAACATTAACTACATTCATTCATCTGCAATTAATTAGTGTAACTACTAATTAGGGTAAATAATGTGCCTCTCCTTCTGTAGGTACCAAATTGATTTTGTGAACTGAAAGCAAATTATTACTCTGATTAGATGGCATCAGGTTTAAAGTGGTACCACAAGGGGAGTGATAGCAGTGGGGTTAAAGGAAAGGCCCAGGCGTCAGGACGGTGGTGTTCACAGCACTACCATAACTTTTCAGTGTGACCTTGGGCAGTCATGTGACCCCCTCTGTGCCTCAGTTTCCCCATCAATAAAAGAAAGATCTTGCTATTGACCTCCTTTGTAAAACATTTTAAGAGCTGAGTATTTTATTAATGTCTGTTAAGGGGCTCCAAGATCCTTGGCTGGTAATCGCTGAAGAAGTGCCAAGGACGATTACCATTTTGGGACTAGTCAAGCGCTTCCTACCACAGTACAAGACCTATGGAGTAAATCTAGTGTCTTGTGTAATTCGCCATCCTATAGTTTGAATTACTGGGCTTTCAATTCACTGAGCCAGAAACTAACTTTGTCGCACCTGGGGACATAAGTGTGTAGGCTAGAGTTGAAAAGGCACGAAAGCAATTACAAGTTCCGGAGCCATCTTGCAACCAATAAACGAATGTTCAAGAAAAGGCTGCAGCAAAGTGCCGCAGCTGGTATAAATCAGCGTCATTCCATTCACATCAGTGGAGCTAAGCCAGTTTACACCAGCTGAGGATCTGGTGGTTTAACCTACTCCGCCAGAATCCAGGCACTCCTCAGCTATTTACAGCCACCAGGTGAGCTCCTGCAGTCTCTTCTGCACAGTCTTTACTCAAGCAAAACCCCCCGGCGGAGATCCCAGCGCCCGTGCTGTCCTGTTTCATTTGGAACTGGAGGAGAGTGATGAGCTGACTTGTAGTTTGGGGGACGAGTGGCAGAGTAAAATACACCAAAAAACATTTTTTTTTTGCAGGTTAACACACTTTATATTTAACAAAATAATTTTTAATAATATATTTTTACACATCAAATATTGTTGCTCGAACCCCGTATTTTTACAGTCAAGTTTGGGGTTTTTGTCCCATTCTTTTTTCCAGGCACACTGTTGTTTAGAGCGTTTTGAAACTGGCTAGTCATTGCCCGCTAGCCGCTTACAAGTATGATGGTCCCTTATTTAACAGTAGCAGTGTACATGGGCCACATTCTCAGCGGGTGTAAATCGTAGCTGACGTCAACAGCGCTATGCTGAATTCTGGCAGCTGCGAATCTGGCCCCACTAAAACCCAAATGGGGAGGAAATAAGAATACAGTGGCAACAGGCTGGTTGCAAACAAAGGTCTGAGCCTCCTACCATTGATGCCGAAGTGGGCCAGAGCCTCAGCTGGTTTACATCAACATGGCTCCATCGATTTCGGAGGAACTGTGCCAATTTAAAGCCGCCGAGGAGCTGTCCCTAAGAGTTTTGCCATTGACTCTAACAAGAGCAGTTTCGGGGCCCAAAGTCTTAACAAAAAATTCATAAATAAAAAAGCAAACCATGGTTCAAAAGCCGTGACCTGGTTACAATAGAACTGTAAAGTGGCATTACTGTTTTGAGCAGGTCTGTCACAGTATTGGGTTACATCTTCAGGAAGATAAACAAACAGGTGTCAGGGCTACAAAGCCGGAAAGTAACTCGCTTGCAGTGAGGAAAAGACTCTCTCTGGCTGCTAACCAAGACCACGGAGCTGCCCTCCTCTAGGCAGCTGCTTTTTGAAGATGGCTTCTCAGTGTATGCACCCTTTGCCCTAGTAAGTCCTTGATATAGCTCTTGGTGTGCTTAGCCTTTGCTGCAGAATTATTACATCTTGGTGTCCCAGTTACATGTTCTCATTCCATTCCCCTAAGAAGGACACGGTAGCTCCTTAATAATGGATACATCATGGCTCTACTAAAGGTTTTCTCTGTGTTTCCACCCCAGCCACATCATTTATTTTTTATTCCCACGAATGTGAATTTCAAAGCTGACACTAGGCTACCTTAGTGCAAAGGAAACCATGTCTCTCCGTGCACAGAAAGCCTGGAATGCCTCTACTTTGTGTGGGCATGACTAAATCACACAGGGATGCTCATGAATGATTCAAGATCGCATATTATCTATGAATGGCTGCCACAGTAAAGTTCCAACCTGGGTGCAGATCAGTGCTCTGCAGAAAGGGCTCTTGGTGGTCTGCACGATGGCAAAGCTATTTGTACTGCAAGGAAACCAGTTTACTCAAGGCGTTGGAGGGCCAACCCCTCACCACGTTCATTTTAGGAATGGCTCTTGCTGGAACTAGCTGCTTTTAGGAGGGAAGACGTGTAATGTCTGTGGGAGACATTCAGATCCTCTGTCTCATGCTGAGTAGCACCTTGCTTTGTGATTGGGCCCACTGGCTTCAATTGAGCTACACCAGGAGGAAGGTATGACTCAGCATGGAGAGGAGGTTAATAATCTGGCCTTGTATGACAAGTGCTGCTGTAAATCCAGGGAAATATGCCTTTGCGGGCCTAGTTCACTGGTAGCACATCACACCAGTCTGAGCCTTGGCCAGTTTCCACTGGAGTCAGTGGGAAGAGTCCCAGGATGAGCTCATTTAAACTTGATCATTTGCTCTTGGGCTGCTAGGGTCTAGGCGTGTCAGAGATGCAAGGAGCATGCTCACCTCCTGGGAGTGGGGATGTTACAGATGGGTTCCTTGGCCGTGTGGGCACAGGCCTTGGGGAATGGTGAGAAAATGAGGGGCTCATTAAGAGTGTTCTCAGGAAACCATATCTTGTCCACTGTCCATAGGACAGGAGAACACACTAGGCAACAGCTCATACCATGTATGCTAGTGAGGGCATAGGTTTAGCTTGCTCTGTGAACAACCAGTTGTCCATTGTCACTCTTTCTGCGGGTGCTCTGGGGCAGTTTTGTGATTTTAACATTTTTTTTTATCACATCCAATATTTTAATTCATAACAAAAAATCTCCAGCAAACAGCTGCAGAAATCTCACTGGGGGGCTGGTCAGAGATGTGTTCAGATCTGCACTTGAAACAGAAACAGTGGCCAAATCTTGGTCTCACTGAGGTCAAGTGAAATTCGCCACTGACTTCAGTGAGACTAGGGTTTGAGGCAGAGTGGTGATGGCACAGTGACAAGGTACATGCAGACGTAGCTGCATGTTGAAACCAAATCAGAGGGCTAGGGTCAATGCTGATCAATGCATATTCACAGTGGGTCTGTGCACATTGGGCCAACAGTTTATGCTAGCAGAAGCCACAAAGGGCCGAACTAATCGCTGGTGTAAGGCAGCACACGTACACCAGGAATGTATGTGTATCCAAAGTGATTACGAACAGCCCAAAACAAAGAGCTTGATCCATGCTGGTGACAAATGGGGCACAGTTTCAACCTCGGCTGCAAATCTAGTGTTTGTCATTTTCCAAATTATTTTGATTTGTGTTTTCCCATCATCTTCAACGGTATCAAGGGAGTTGTGTCCACCTACTGCTGTTATCCGGCATCATTTAGTGATTTGATTGACAGCTTTAACGTATCGGTCGTGATTATTGTGTAGATTTCTTCAACTTGATTGTCCCCACTCGGTGGAGAAAGCGTAACACAGACAGAGTGTTCCTAGCGCATGGCCGATCCCTCTTTATCTAGGTATCTAGCCTGACCTTTCTGTAGTTTACAGTCCAGTTTGATTTATTCCATCTATCCAGCCATCCACCTCCCATCTCTATTTTTAGCATCATGAGACATTTAAAAAGCGTTCATTCTTGTTTTACCCATAATCTTATTACCCAGAAGACCCTGGCTGTGAAAAAGTTTAGGAAGATGCTTAAAAAAAAAAAAAAAATCACAACAGCGAAAATGCAATTCACATTGTAGGAAAAGCTACAAGTTAATTGGCACGGTGGAGGCATTATGAGTGGAGGAACCTGTGCAGGTATTTTCCCTTCCAAAACCTCAGCTATCGAGTCCCCATCAAGCAAAAGCAGATTAGATATCTAGCTACTGGATATATATTCTGTATACGGTGTGTGAGAACTTTCCTGTTAGCAAAATATTCACTTTTGTTAACCCTAAAAGGTTTTGCTGGTGACCCTATTGCAGCTGGCAGGAGGTTTAACATGTGCAGTGTAGAAGCCGTTACGTTTGCTTTTTAATAGACTTGTCATTGGTCTGGATTTTGCCTCTACAGAGTCTGCTTGCCGTGGCATTCGCGTTTTGAACACTGAGCAGGCTTCCACCAGTCCCCGTTGTGACAGTGACAGATGTTACACTCATCCACTTTCACTTCAATGCCAGCCGGAATTATGGTGGTTCCTGCAAAGCAGTTTGGACCTGGAAACACACATACAAAATAAATAAATAAATTAAAATTGGGGCTGGGTGTGTATGGGAGGAGGGTGGGGGGGCAGGACGCATGGTGGATTTGAGAGTGAGACCACATGAGAATCGTTTACGAGCAGGGAGTCTGATGAAGTCACCCCAAAGTACAACCCCGCTCCACCCCTTCAAATCACCAGGCAGTTCAACATCACCATAGTCCATTAGCACCAGGCAGGAAATCCTGGCCCCCTTGAAATCCATGGCAAAACCCTCATTCACGTCAATGGGGCGAGGATTTTGCCCATTGGGCAGTTCAATAACATTTTCGTAGAAGGCAGGAGAGTGCTGAATTGGTTTCCAAGCATAAAACAAAGCTTCAAACGTTTAGCTTCCTTCACGCCCCTCCCCTGTTATTGGATACTTTGTCATGGTCAAAGGCTTCCCCTGAGCAGCTGATTGGTAATGCAGTGTCCCCTTCCCGGCTGCAAGGCCGCAGGAAAACATTGGGATGAAATCTTCAGCTGGTGTAAATTGGCAGCGCTCCAGTGAAGTGACTGGAGCCCTGCCAATTTATACCCGCGGCACATGTGGCTGCTAAAACTCCCTCCAGCTCCTTAAATTCAGTCCCTGGGATCCTGAGCTGGTTCCCTGATAACAATGAATAATTCACAGCATCAATAATTGATTTGTCTCCCAAACAAGCTTGCTTATAGATTTTATTTTATAAAGGGGATTCCTTTAATCTGCTGATCTTGACTTTAAAAAAAAAAATCTTTATTAGGCAATTTCAAACCCAAGTTGCTTCTGAAGTCAGCAGGATTTTTGTTTTCTCATGCCCATTAAAGGCCCAACAAAGAAAACATGGCCCAGCTGGTTATGTACATGCAATGCTTCTCTCCCACATACCCACTAGCATTGTGCATGTGTGAGTGTAATACTGAGCTTCAGATCTCAATAAAATCAATTCTGAAAAGCCAGAGATGTGAGGTTTAGCCTCTTTGAGGACCGTTGGCTGCATTATCCCAATCACCAGGCGAGCTGATTGTCGAGGTTAAATTAGCTAAACCAAACTGCTCTGGAAATCTGATTGTCTCGTGTATTTGGTATTGCCCAAAACTATGGCCAAGTGTAACATCATCAACTGTGCTCTAGTTCCATTTTTTTGCATTTGTTTTCCTACTACCGGGAGTGAATTTGCAATAATATTTGAACATCAAAGCACGTGAACCACAGGCTAGGTGTAGAGCAGAGCTCTAAACTAGACTTAGCACTGTTTGAAAGGAAAGCAGCTCTTTCCAATGTGTATTTATTGATCTGTCTCGTAGTGCATTTTAAATCTACATTTCAAGAAAAAAAAATCATATCTGTAAACATGCGTATATAAGTGACTGTGAAACGGGGAGGCTCAATTGCATTCCAGGCTCTTTTCACATTAACTAACAGGTGGAGCTGGTTAGGCATTGGCCATTGGAGTGATTTTCTAATGGGAAAATGTAGTTTTGGCAAAATTATTATTATTTTTAATCTGGAATACTGATTTTGCCCCAAAACTTGATTTCCCCATCAGGGAAAACCAAAGTGAAATATTTTATTTTGGGTTGTTTCAACCCAAATTAGAATATTTCATTATCAGAAATGACCCAAAATGTTTCCTTTTGAATCAATTCAACAAAATATTAAACTGCATTTTTTTATTGCGGTCCATTGCTTTACAGGAGTTACAGTTCTGGCACTGATTCTCTGTGGTTCAAGCTCCCACGAGAGCTACGTCTCTTGTATCAGGACAAAAATCAAATGTTTAAGTGTCAGAATTTCTCACGGGACAGAATTTCAAAACTGCCCTCAATTCTACGTACCGTACCAATGTTAAGAGTCCATTGAAAGTTTATTTCATGCCATTGGCTCGGTGCATGTGGAAATGTTAATATAGTCATTGTTCTCAAGTTGTCATCATCAGTAGCTGTTTCCCATTCAATATGACCCCCAAATTGACATTACTTGTAGTATAGTAGCACCTAGCTGCTTTATTGGGGCTCCACTGTGCTGTGTGCTAGTCACACATTAGTAAGAAACAGGCCCTGTCCAAACAAGGGTGCAAGCCAGATGATGGATGGGAGGGCAAATGACTTGCCCAAGGTCACACAGTACATCGGTGGCAGAGCCAGGTCCAACACCCAGGCTTCCTGACTGTGCGAACAGTAACCCATCCGCTGGACCATCCATTTGCCTTTCTCGGCCAAACCTTTGGAAACCAAAGGAAGTTTTCAAGCGTACATGTGCACAGACAGACCCAAGCACACACTGGAAATGCTCTTCAAGTTTCTTGCGTTTTGAAAGATTAGCCATTTGCATGACATTCCCAAGACTTAAAAATGGGGACTACTGCTGGAACTGGTAATCTGTCCCAAAACGGAAGAAATCTAAGCATATAAACACTGCATATACTGCAGTAGTCATCTACTTGAAAGGTTACCTCCATTCCATGGACAATGGACAACAGAAATATCTCCATACATATGAATTCAATAAAATAACCTTTCAAGTGACTCCCAGTTAGGCCCTGTGCTTTAACCTCACTACATAGGCAGAAATACAATTCAAAACTTTCTCCCCTTCCCTGCCCCCCACAAATCCATTTGCAGGAATAACATTTGTGGCATCCTATTAAACAAAGGGAGGGTGGTGAACTTCACACGTTTAGCTTAACATTTGCTCGCCTGAAATGTCTCCCCTGAAAACTGGAGCTATTATGGGCAAAGCAAGACATCTGGGCACTCTAAATTATAGATGAGTCTAAATCCGAGGGCCAAGCCATTTAATGGGAAGGAGGTGAAATGCAGTATGTAGCTTGGTAGGACTTACTGGTCCGTGCCTGTCACAGGCATGACTGGGAATGGGGTGGTCTGGCGCCATACCAAAGATGTTTGCATTTTACAGCATCAGAAAACTTTTTTTTCCCCTCTCATTAACTTTATTAGTACCATGACCTTACAGTACACTTCTCAGAGCCCACAGGCCACAAGTTTGACATTGCTGGTCTTAACTGCCCAGAAGTAATTTAGATAGTTGTCAAGCAGAATAATTGGTGTTTCTTGGCTATTATTCACATTTAAATCATCCCTCCCTTTAATAAGTGCTGCTATAAATTTTGATCAGCTTTGTCTCAGCTTCTACTGTCCACGCTAATAGAGTCACAATCAAAGCATATGAGTGAGACACCTCTGATGACTTTCACGCTAGCATCTGGAGCTATTATATACGCCCTCTACCTGCTACTTTACCACCATCCACTTTCATACTAATAGGAACCACTTCCTTGTAATCTATGGGTTAGCATAGGCGCCGACTTCCCGTCTTCCCGGTGGGTGCTCGACCCCCCCCGCCGTCCCTGGCCCCGCCCCGCCTCTTCTCCATCTCCTCCCGCGAGCACACTGCGCCCCTGCTCCTCCCCCCTCCCAGAAAGTCGTAAGTGCCGCCAAACAGCTGTTAGGCAGTGGGGTGGCAGGAAGCGCTGGGAGGGAGGGTGAGGAGTGGGGACACAGTGTGCTGGGGAGGGGGGAGAAGGAGGCGAGGTGGGGTGGGGGGAGCTTGGCTGCCAGTGGGTGAGGAGCACCCACTAATTTTTCCCCATGGGTGCTCCAGCCCCGGAGCACCCATGGAGTCGGTGTCTATGTAGGTTAGTGCATTTGTCTCTGTTCTCCAATTGCCTGGCAGACTGTGGTGGGCTAAGGTATAGCCAAGGTGCATAGAAGTACCATGCTCCATGTTGGGAGAGAAAGGAAGCTCTTGTGACTAAGGCACAGGGCTAGGATTCAGGAGAGCTGCATTCAGTTCTTGGCTCTGTCACTGACTTTGGGCAGGCCATTTCCCGCAGGTCCCCATCTGCAAAATGGGAATAATCATTCCTCTCCTGTGGATTTGGACTGTCTGCTTCTCAGAGCAAAGGTGTCTCTGACTATGTGTTCGTTCAGCGCCCTGCTCACTGCATTCCCAATCTTAGCTGGACCCTCCGGGCAATCACACAAAGAATGGATAATAAAAATAACCATGTCGTTACCATGTGGCGCTAACATTGTAGCAAACAACTTTGACCTTTAAATGGCCACCCAGGATCTCCTCACTAGTCCTTTTAAAGGAGTACTGTGCCCGTCCTCCTACTCTGTGCGCTGCGGCTTTAAGAAACAAGGCAGAGAAGCGCAAGAAGCGTATTGCCTCGGAGTAACTCCCTGAGGCGGAGTCAAGCATCGGCTGCGTGGGCCCTGGTTGACAAAAGGGTACAGCCAGTCCTCCAGAAAGACCCACGAGAGCAAGGAAGGGGCTTCATGGGATCTCAGGCCTGTTTGAAAAGAGCAGGCCTGGCCCGCTGCAAGAAGGTGTGGGCAGGGCCAACTCCATGCACAATGTGATTCCGGCCAAGATGAACGCCTAGAAAAGGGAGCAAGCTGAAACTGAGGCAGCTGCAGTGGGACCCAAGCAGATACGAGCACAGGTTTGGAGGACACTGGTGCTTGTGGGATATATTAATGATCAGAGACCATTGGAATTATTGGGAATCTTTCCATTGAGTTCAGAGGACTTTGGATCAGACCCTAATAAGTTGGAGTGAAGGCTGAGAGTGCATACCAGCAATTTACGGTGAAATACGGTACATAGATGTTGAAAATATTCCCAAACCAAGTATGACCATCCCAGAAAACTTAGAGCCAAGGTTAAACTTAAAAGAAATCCAGACATGTGACAGTAAAATGCAGTTAGGACACCCAAATAAGCTAAACTCTGCCCCCTAGGGATGCCATGCAATACCCAGGGGATTATGATTAATGCATTTTAATGTTTGTAATCCAAGATTAGAGTCCCCCACTCATGGTGTCACTACAGGAAAGAGTTAATGTTGTTTGGATGCCTTAATGGAGCATTTCCACTACTCCGCTTTGAAGCACACAGCATTTCTATGGCTGTGTATGTGTTCGGGCCGTATAGCTTTTTGTCCCCATTGAGTGGCTGGAACATGT